AATAACAATAACTGGAATATTGGAGTTAGTTTCTATAATAATATTCTATAACAACACTGCTCCTTGCAATAATAGACTTAGTAGATTTAGGTGAATTTAAACTAGTAATAGGATTCCTTTCTATAAAAAGTCTTATCTAATATGTGGACATATTTCCAAATGTTTAAATATATATATAGTTGGGTAATAGTAGTTAGTGTAGCTAGTCTTATAGTAATACATATATATACTATACTAAACAATATTAATCTGCAGATTAGTTGTAGAGACATAAAAAGTATCTATATATTAACTATTTTCCAATTAATTTGTAGAAATACTTAATATTTGTTTGGATATAAATACAGTATATATTAATAAAAATTATATATTATATATATGTTCCATTATAAAAAAAAACAAAGTATCAAATATTAATAAAGTACAATTCAGTTGATATTCAAAAATAAAAATAAATAAAAATATTAAATTAATATTAAATTTATTATAAATTAATATTATTTCAATACTATTTTAATATTTAATTTTAAATATTAATTATATTTTATAATATTTAAAAAAATAATAACCAATATTAATATAAAAAATATATATACTGTATATTATATTGATAATTAAAATATTTAATAAATAATATATAATAAGATAAACTCTTTCTACTGATCTTTTTGCCAATATAAAAAACAGACGTTTCAAGGAAATTTTTATATTTTTTTATAATAAAATCTATACACTTTCATTTATTAACAATACTTATATCAAGAGATTATAGTTTCCTCTACTTGTTTCTTTCTTTCTTTGATATAAACTTCTTATATTTCTATAAGTAAATATAAGAAATACCTACCTATAAAGTTAAAGGCAAGAAAACTTTATTAAGAAAAAGAACCTGTAGAAAAAACATACTCCTTTCTTTCTTCAGAGATTCAAGACTCTAGAAAAGACTGATATAGATTTCTAGAACTCTTTTCTTATCTTCTTCAAGCTTTTCTTCTATCTTTTTAAGCATGTAAACTTTTTTTCCAGTTTTTTTGAAGAATTTTGTCTATTTCAATTTGATTTTGAATTTTTGATTACATTGAAATTCTTGAATGGTAAATGATTTGAATTTTGGACTGGTTGATCTATATATAGCAAGAAATATAAATAAAACACGTAACCCTCATATGCTCTATCTTGTATAACATAAAATCTAATAATGTAATTGGATATAATGAAAAAAACAAGGTGATGGGGTGTTCTTTTTGTTAAAAAATGTTATGGTATTTCTCCCTTTTTTCTTGAACTGGTTTCTTTTTTCTTTAAGATTAAAAGAAGTCTCATTCTAATCCAGTAAGAAGTTTTTTTTATTGTTGATTATTTTAAGAAGATAGCAAGCATTAGTATAAGACTTGTCTCAATCAATAAATTTCAATGGATGTAAGTTTTGTTTCAAGCAGTATATTAATTTTGTAATAAGTATCTTGAATATTTTTGATCAGTAATAAAATAATAGAAATTAAATAATTCATTCAGCTGCAGATAGTAGTAAAGAATTTATTTCAATAGACTAAAGTTGATATTGGAGAGTTTTTATTTATCAAAACAAACTCTTTATTTATTCTTTTTATTCTTATTTTTTAGGACTACAGGTTCATATAGAGATAACAGCTTGAATATAGGTTGACTATGATTTTTTTTAAGGCCAAGGAGCAATTTTGAAAAAGAAGTAATTTTATCATTCCTTATGATTACACTTAGAGAATTAAGATTTGAAAAGTTTAAGATAATTAATATTACATAGTAATAGTTTAATAAACTAATTTTCTTATAGTGAAATAGTTAATAAATAGCTAAATCATATAGGTGACATAATGATCTTAGTATTAAGAATTCAAGGATTATATACAAATCTAAAAATAACTCATTGATAGGTATTCTGCAATATGTACAGTTTAGCTCTAATATAAAGTTTTAAGGTTCAATGTATTATTGTTTTATTTTTATAAAAAAATAATAAACACAACAAATTGTAATTTAATTAAAGGCAAAAAATAAAATAAAATAAAATAATATATAATAATTAAAAATCTAATTATCTTTATAAACAAAATTGATGATATTAATAAAAATTATTTATTGATTTTCAATAATATAAATTATTTATATAAGATTAAATTTAATATTTATAAAAAAATTTTACTTTTTTTTAATATCTAACTAATTAATTTATTTATTTAAATACTAGTTTTGTTTTGTTTTATATAGTTTATTTTAAATAATATATTTTTTAAAATAAATAAATTATTTCTATTTAATTTTAAGTTTTAATAAATAAATAAATAAATAAATATCAGATCTATTAAATAAAAAAATAATTTTTTCAATAGCAAAATTAATTGTTTTTTTTTTAATTTTAAGTTTTAATAAAAAAATATTAAATATATTAAATAAAAAACTGATGTTTCTTTAATTCATAATCTAATTAAGTATATTTAAATAGTTTAGAATTAATATTTATATATTTTTACTTATTATATATTAAGTAAGTTTAAAAAATATATATATTAAACTCTAGTTATAACTTGAAAATAGCTATATATTTAGTTATAGTATTTTTTTATATAATTAATATATTGATTTATTTTTAAATATCTAGATATTATTTAAAATTTTTATAAATTTTGATGTTTTTCCTATATTCTTGAATAATTATCAAGAACTTGAACAAAGAATTGTTTTTTTAAATCTTATATTTACCTTTTTTTTAAAAAAAGAGACATATAGATTAATTTAATAATTATATATTCAAGTATTAATATTATAATAAACAAAAAATATAATAATTGTTTAAAAAAAAATAATAATAATAAATAAATTTTTTACAAATAAAAAACTTTTCTATAATAAAATATAAAATAAATTTAATATGAAATTTTTATGATAATGATAATAATGATAATGTAACTCGATCTATAAAGTTTAAAGAAATTGTTGGATTTAATATATAATATAATAATTAATGACATTCGTTATATAAAATTAATTAATTATAACCAAACTAGGTAACTTTTTATTAAGTCAAAAATTCGTTTTTCTTTTTGAAAAATCCTGTTATCGTATATTAGAATTGTTATTTTTGAAACGACGAATACGCTGTAAATAGATAAACTTGTTAAATCAATATATCAATTGTGCTTTTACAAATAAAGAATTTTTGATTGTACAAAATTAATTTTCTAACAATCAACAATTAATTATTTGTCATTAACTCTATAATACAAATTTTTTGATATTATAGTTAATCATCGGGTATGTGTGTGAGCTTTGTTTTCTTTTTAAACAAAGTATCCGTTAAGCATTCTTTCTTAAAACGTAAGAAAAATCATTTAAATTTAAATTTACCACAATTAATGAAAATGTGAGACAAACAAAAATGCATATTCTCCGTCATCCCCATTTGTCAGGGAAAAAAAACCTTGTTTCCGAGGCGTGCGATTAGAAATACATTTATGTGCGGAGGTCATAAGGATATCACTCTCGAAACGAAAACAACTCCGTCAAATTGCATAAGGGTTCAGAATACTTTTGGTTGTTTTCGAGGAGAAACCGTGAAGCCGTAACAACGATCACGGTAATAATCCGTTAACGTTACAAAGAATTGGAAATTTGGTCGTCCCACAAATTACATTTAACTTTTTCTCATGAGTCATGCGGTAAAACGCCATTGTCTAATAAATGGCATAATATTTCCAAAGATAACGTTTAAGTGATTTGGTACTAATCCCGGTGTACTTCAATTTGCAGTCATATAGCCTGATTTCCATAATCCGGAAAAAGGCCAATTTTGTAGATCATATGAATTATACATTTAATGTAGTATGGTGCTATCATCATTTCTCGAGTTTTCCAGTATCCCCTAGATTAACGGTATCAAACAACGACCCCATGAAAGGGAAGAAAACAAGTTTAGCATTGTTTTCTACTGTAGCCAGGAATAAACAGTGCATGTCGATATACACAAATGTTTACCAGTAAAAAATTAAGTTATGAATCATATGATCCTGTATGCGTGTGTGTAATTATTTATTTTATACGTAATTAGTCTTGACCCTGGGAAAAAGAATGTTATGTAGTAACCAGTCATCAATAAACAACCGTCTTTTAAAAAAAAAGCAAATTTATCATGCATAAGTTATATAATTCGATTATTACATGGAAATATTGAGGAGAAATGAGTCATTAAAGTTTTTTAGAAATATGATTATCAAAATGATGAAATGCCAATCATTTCTAGATCTGTAAATTTTATCGACAGAAATGAAATTCTTAAGAACCTCGTAATATCAAACATGGGGTTGTGGAATTTAACACGGATTTGTACCATTTTCACACAAGATACGTCCAAATCTAAAATAGTCATAGTTCGACGACATGTCAGGCTGTGCAGGATCATTGAGTCGACAACATACTAAGCAAAAAACAATACCGATATATTATATGTGTGTTGGTGCCTACAGTGCACAATAACGTTATAGTCAATTATACGGTTCACACCCATTATGTAACGAACCCGTTATACACCGAAAGGGTGAACCACACCGGATATTAGCAACGCGTGACAAATAGGATGGGGCCAAATAAAATATCAAATAAAATACGTACGTGCGTACCTACGATGGGTGTCTATGATTGCCGGGCGCGTTCATGAACACAAAAACCTGCGGTCGGAAATTCGATGTCGGCAAATCAGAGAACCGGCGAATAACAATATGACAAGATTCCTTGCAATCGCTTATTCAGAGACATCTATGGTAAATTAATAAGACAATGAAACTCGGTAGGTCATATATTATGATAACATAAAATTAGTACCACATGATAAACGACGCGTGGATAAGCAATCCATCACATTTGAATGATTTAATTAGCAAATAGATTGCTTTTTATGTTCAACTGACTTTGTCCACTCAATTTTCTCCTATGTTTGTGTTTGTAATTTTTTATGTTGTGGTCACATTTCAGCCCTCATCTCTGATTCCTTCAGACAAAAGCATTATCTTGATTGGTTGCAACTTTATGACCTCTTTTTTACTATAAATAAGAGACCTGATGTTCGCTTGGCTCAGTTTGGTTTCTCTCCAATCAAATTTGCGCCTTTGATTCTTGAGACCAAAGCAAAAAGTTCACGCAGCGAAACATTGCCCTCATTGTTGTGTGAAGTTTATCACCTTGTCCTTTTCCACTCTACCTCCTAAAAACACCCTCTCGTCACTGTAAAGATAAAAAACAAAAAAAAAAAAACAAAAAAACGAAAAAAAAAACCCCCCAAAAAAAACAAAGAAAGAAGAACAGACCTTACCTTTGTACTTTTTCCCTTAATAAAGTCACCTTGCTAACTCTTACTTCTTGCCATCTGTTCACATCGGATTCCAACTTGTAGGTACATATCATTCCACTTAATACTCGACTGGCTCACCATGGTCACTAGCTGATACCATCTTATGTGTCACTTATGTGACTCACCAGATATCATGTATATAAATACTACGACGCGTCATTCGCTGAGCCCCAAATGCTTATTCCTCACACGTACATAATACTAACCATTTATGTTTGTTTGCTATTTGATCCTGGCCTACGCCGTACCACCGAAAACTCCACTGTGTACACGTCGACCTAATTCAGAACCGGACGGACATTCCGATCAAACAATAAAATACAGAGCAAAGCGTTCCTCAATCTTTTGGTCAATACCATCCGTGTGCAGTTGATTGGTTTGCCAGGACTTTTAATTCTGAGCGTGCAACGACAAACAAAGCATAACACAGCAGGACACCGGTTTTTTTTTGCTTTCTCCCAACAAAGCGCTTATTTGGTTATCAACACGTTTGGTGCCAGATAGTTTTTTTGGTTAAAAACCCTCCCTTGTTTGTGTTCGTCTTTTTTTTGCTTTTCGGCAATCTCATAATGTTCTAAAGTTCTTCACATCCTGACCAATTTGTTTCTGGTTGCTCTGTTCAAACAGTTCAACGAGAAATCGATCACAACACCGTCACAATTATTATGCAAGCAAACCCACTCTTTTTATATTGATTATACCGGCAACAACCCACGAATCCTACACAAACTATTCTGTTTTTATATTTCTGTTTGCATTATTATATTCCCTCTGTATTAACCTAACCCCCTCCCTTTTTACTCGAAAGACTCAAAAACTTGTGTCTTAACTGTAATATAGCCATTTTATAACCCATATACATATACCACCCACTTTATTCTTTCACATCACTTTTTATACTTTTTCTACTTTTTCTTTCTATATTAACCCAAAATCTCAACATTTGGCTGACACCGTCGGTATGGCGTTTTAAAAGAGGAACTTTGTGCACAAAAAGATGCTATTTTCATTTAACATTACAGACATCAAATCCATCTCGTTATCAACGTATTTGGACACTGATCTGTTTTTCCACAAAACATCCGCTAACTCCTATTCAAAACAAAGTTTCGCTTGGTATCTATCTTACATCTATACTCCTTATCGGCGACGAAAGTCTGCCAGATATTACCCTAAAAACTTACCTTACCTTAGTTCAATCCTCTCATCAATCCTTAACACATTTCCCAGATTCTAATTCTCCGCTTCTCATAAAAAATTTTTTTAAACTCAAGCCGGTTCTTGAAGAAACACTTCATAAAAAACAAAAAAAATCAAACAAAATAAAATAATCATATTTTATTTAGCCACTCCGTAAGAGTGTAAAAATCATATATATATATATATATATATATATATTACGAAGAAAGTATCGTCTCATAGTCATGATATTCAAAAGATCTTCATCTACACCTGTTAGGCCTGTTGTCCTTGATATTAAGGAACCCGTTTCCCGATATCAACAGCCTTTGCCGCTCTCCTCACCTTCGATCTTGCCTTTTGACATTGGGACAACAATTTACAACCCTAAAGATGGTTCCGCTTTCCAGCTGATCCAACCACTTGGAAATGGTTCTTACGCGGTTGTATATATGGTGCGCGAAAGATCTACTAATATGTATTACGCGCTTAAGTGTCTATCAAAGGCCAACCTCACCGATTATCAATTGGACGTTCAACGTAATGAGGTATGTTTTTCTTTGAATTCCATTTATCACGTGATCACAATTCTCACAAAATTCATCTTTTTTAGGTGCTCATTCATGAACGGTTGATGCATCCCAATATAGTAAAGCTCGAACGTTACTTTGAAACACCTGATTGGCTCTTCTTGGTGCTTGAATATTGCGAAGGTCAGGATCTGTATTACTGGCTGACACAAAGTAATGATAGTAGGGACCCGAAGACGGGGAAATTATTAACTGAGGAGGAAAGGATGGTGATCATCAAACAGGTTTTCCTACAGATACTAGAGGCGGTGGGCTATTGTCACAGTCGCGGTGTTGCTCACAGAGATCTCAAACCAGAAAACTTTATTATTATGATTACTGACCGTGGTATTCAAGTAAAATTGACCGATTTTGGGCTAGCCACCGATGAAAATGAATCCGCTGACTTTGATTGCGGATCGAAACCATATATGAGTTACGGTATGTGCATTTCAATCACCATGTTTCATTAGTTTACCAGACACCTAGATTTGATTAAAAGACTTTCGTATGTTCAAAACAGAATGTCGTAATCCCACTCACGATACTTATGACCCTCGCCTTGCTGACATATGGTCACTTGGTGTCATTTTCCTCAACTTGATCTACCATCGTTCACCATGGTCTGACCCCAATCCTGAACAATGTAAATCCTTCGCTACGTTCAATCTTGATAAATCCGATTTTCTGATCCACCGTTTCATGGGTATGCCGGAAAAGGTTGCTCACTTTTTAGCAAAACGTGTTTTCTGTAATGCAGAAGAAGGTCGCGTTAGCATCAAAGAATGGATTTATTGGTGTCGTAACATGGTTGAAAAGATGTTCCAGGTGGAAGATGATGATGCTATTGTTCCACAACCCTTGCCCATTACATCTTCATCAGTTCCTAACAAAAGTTCTCATGATCAAAACGACTATGACCGCAATGATTCCTGGTCAGAGGTTTTCAGCGAATTCGATAACGAAATGGATTTCACTGCACCTGTACTGTTCACTGATAAACATCTCAACAATGTTTCCATGGATAAATCAATTGCTGCTGCTTCCACTACCGTTGCTTCGGAATCAGTTAAAGCCGAATCAAATAGTGATGACGTTGGACCGCAAGAAGAGAGTAAAGGAGACGATGAATACACTGCCGACGTGATCGCCAACAATAGTGATGCCGACTCTGGATTTGGTACTGATGAAGAGATCAGTGCTAATATTATGACTGGTCCATGCGATAGTAATTCTTCCAAGACACCCTTATCTGTGTCTCCGCCCAAGGTTATATATTGCAAGCCCAAGCCATGGGGTGAACAGAAAACTCGAGGTCACCAGCGAAAGTCATCTCTGGAAAATGGTTCTAATTTTACCCCCAATAATAGCCATTGGACTTCTTACAATCAACGCAGGGAACGTCTGGAACAGCGACGAAAGGAATTGCAGCAGCCCTCATCGGGAGCTAACCGACGTCGCGGTTCATATTCAGTTGAAGAGGAAGCCTCCACTTCCCGTTATAATATGGATTACGCGCAGACTCGCCGACAAAGACCACTTCACCCTTCGCACTTGAACCATGACAAGAACCTTGATAACAATACCATGCAACCGGCTTATAAAAAAGAATTATCACCTCAAAAGTCACAATCCCCCACGCAAAAATTGATCTATGTTCCTCCGATGGTTAATTTATCCTCGCAACAAAAACCGCCCTATAACTCAACGTCACAAGCTACTTCAATGAAATCTTCCGCTGGAGAAAATGCCGCGACCCCCTACAGACGTGTTTCCTCGAAGTCTACTGAGAAAACTCCTAAGAAAGTCGCGAGATCTACCAAGAATCACTTGAGCAAGATGTTGGCAGGGGTAGTGATGTTCAATCGTGGTATTAAAGTTGGTGGACAAGACTTCGGTAGTGTTTGAGGAATGGCAACCTTGATATTTTGCCCATGCTTAATTGATGGTTTCATGTCAACTCTATCGATCTCGGCTTTTTGTACTTTTCATTTTTATATATATACATAACGTTATAGGTTTGAAAATTGTTACTTCCAGAAAAAAACTAAAAAAAAACTAAAAAACTAAAAAAAAAAAAAAAAGAAAAAACTAAAAAAACGAAAATTACATTGTAAACATTTTTTTTTTCTTGCCAAAAATTACCAAAAATTGAAAATACTTATGGTATTTGTGTTAATAAATGTACAAAGATATTTGATTTGCAGAGTAATTGCAATGAGTTCACAATTAGGATCATATTTTAAATATTGTATTATTAAAAATTTTTTTGATTTTATAATTTAAATTATTGTAAATTTAAATAATAATATAAATTAAATATTATCAATTAAAATACTTTATTAATTGATAATAAAAATAATTTTTTCACATTAAACTTATTATAATTAAAAAATAAATACTATATACTGTATATAAATTTAATTAATTTATTTTTTTAAATCCTTTATAATCAAAAACATAATAATATATAACTTTTATATACAAACTATTTTAATACTTAACTACTTGTTATTGATTTGATTTTAAGTATAATTTTAAAAATAAATAAAAATTATTTACTCTTTTTTAAAATTTCAAATTAATATTAATAGTATTATTAAAAATCTTCATTTTTTTTATTTATTTTAAAAAAATTTGAATTTACTACTTACAACTTATTATTATGATTTATTTTGATAAAATTCTAATTACTTTATAATTTTAATAATTTTTTATTCTTTTTAATTTTGTTTTATAAAGTTTTTATTAAAATATTTATTAAAATATTATTTTTAATTAATAAATTTAAAGATTTCATTATTGCTTTTTTATCTAATTATTTTTTATTTAATTTAATTAGTTTTTTTTTTTTTTTTTTCAGAAAGTAACAATTTTCAAACCTATAACGTTATATAT